GGTAATCAGAGGTTTTTCGGCGCAAGTGATGTCGAAAATGTGTAGGGGTAATTTTCGGCGTAAGTGACCTTAAAAATTTCGGCGTAAGTGAACGTGGGACCAACCAAAATGATCTAAATGTAAATATCAGTTCATGGCATCCGGAGTTTCCTGTGCTCCGTGTCCCAGGTTTAAATCGATGCTGGGTCGAAGATATCCCTTTGACCCTCCCTTGACTCTGACGGGTGCCAAACAAGCGAAGTCTGTGGCTAAGGAACTGTGGGATGGGGCGACCGTAGCGTCACGGCTGGGCCAAAGACCAGAGGTTTGCCATGATTTGGCCACAGTATTTTGGGACACTTAATTTTTTTCAATATTTTTTTCATATCTGTTCCATTTCTTCACTTCGGAAGTGGATCAGGAGCTCTTTGCCAAGTACGGCGATTTTTCCGTGGTGGTCTCATCACCCTTCATCAGGTGCTGGATTGACACCCAAAGATGGGTTTTCTGGGGAGGCACAAAAAGTCAAAAAGAATGGTGGATTTACATTGGATTTACTGGAGTGTACCACAAGTTTTGGCAATTTTCAGTGGGAAAATGATGATCTATGATGAAGATTGATGAATCATGGGATTTCGAGAAAACAAATGATAAACCATGGAATCGAATGGGGTTTTCCCATCATTTTCCACCAACCCTCACTTCTGGCAGGTGCATCGAAACTGCGGTGGAGATTTGCCGTGTTTTCAATTGTGGCTTATGCATCGATCGACAACTCGGTGGCCTGGGACGTGGAAGTAACAGATCCGTTGCGGTCTGCCGGTGGAACTATGATGGGGTATGCTCCGTTTATATCGTCAGGATTTGTATGCATTATATGTTCGTACTGGCGGTAGTGAGTTCCTCATCTACGTTGCTTAAATCACCAGAAAGCATCATTTGCCCAACAGTGTGCTGGCGAACTTGAGATGGGAAGATCCACCGACAATCCCCGCTTGTTCCTCCAACCATGGTGGTTGAGCAACTCTATTGTGTTGGTCAAAATATACATTTTTCTGAGTTGTTGGCTGCAGGGTTCAACCTCCCCATCTTTATTGGTGAAAAGCAGAATTCACGGCTTGTGTTGGTTGAAGTCCAACTTGGGTCGCCTAAACTCCAATTCATTCCCATGATATAACATTATATACATAACATTATATCCCATTATATCCCATTATATCCCCATCATTTCTTGGTTGAAGTCAATTTGAGGTTGTTGAAAGGTCGCAAAGCTCCCCGTCGCAGGTGAGGTCTTCTCCCCTGCCTACTTCGGCCCTTGGGACTTGCCGGGTCCCAAAATGCGCAGCCCTGAAGAGATTTGCGCATACGTGCCCAACGATGTGAGGAGGGCTGATTTCAGCAAATCTTGAAGCAGCCTTTTCATATTTTTCATGTCAAGTGTTGTGAAATGTATGATGCAGGTGATGTAATTAAGTTTGCGATCACCATCATTTATCCTTCATCACATTTCGTCACATTTCGTAGATGGTCACGCTGTATTTCAAGTTGGTTTGATTTCGGGATCTCTGTGATCGTCCAAGCTGCCCTGTGGGGTCCTCAGCCCCGGCATCGTTTCTTGCAGGATTGTTGGGGTGGGCGATGACGAAGGGTCCAAGAGCAACGCGGAAGGCTTCATAGGTTCCTGGTCAATGGATGAATCTGAGGTGTGTCTGAAATGGGGAACCATGGGGAACCATCGGGAACCATTGGTTTCCCCATTAAAAACAACAATTTTTGGATGATTTTTTGGGTTCCCATGAGCCCATATAGTCAGGACTGCTGCATTGACAACCAACATGTCATGCGCTGGGTTCGATCATATTTGATTCGAATTTCACCCAAAAGGCTCAACCTTCATATATAGCCCGTTGCCTGACAATCTCTAATCCACTCTTGTCCTTTTGTCGCTCAGATGCCAGGATTCTCCTCACTGGCGAAAGGGGCACTGGCTTTGATTGTTCATGCACTCCCCAACTGCACTCCAGTTGTGGTGTATAATGATACATTTGTGATGATATATACATACGTACCTACGCCCCAATGAGTCTGAGTCGGGGGTGCTCGTTGAGGCACCACCCCCCAGTGGCCGGAGAAGAATGGCAAACTGCGGCTGGCGATCCGCGTGGAACAGCTGTCTGAGAAGGTGGATGCTGAAATGCCATGGGAGTTTAGGCATGAAAGATCGGGCTTCAAAGCTACACGTGGCGTTTAGCCAAAGATAAAATGGGTAAAGCAGTTGGGAATACGAAATGATGCCCTTGGTTGATGCTGACAATATGAGGGTATAAGTGTTGTACTGATAGAAATTGGTTTCTTGGGGATTATAGACGAATATGGGAACCCTGACCTGAAATGAACCAGTAGGTTTGAGGGTGACAGAGGGTTTTGGGCACTGTTCAGACAGTGTATGTGTATACTATGTATACAGCCACATCTAATATATAATATACGCAGGCTTAGCCAACAACAAAATATATCTAGATGAACCAACCAAACTATGGGAAAGTGTTCATCAAGAGTGCAGGCCACCACCAAGAATGCTGCGAATTTGACTCCCATGACAAAGGTTGATTCTTGGGGAGCTCCAGGGAGTGATTTGGCTGTGCTGGTTTCGGCAAGAAGCTGAGGGATGATTGGTGATCAGCCAAAGGGAGTTCAAGCAATCAGGCTTCCTCCAAGCAGTTTTGTTGGTTCCATCCCCATACTTTTCTCTTGCCTCTCGAGCCAGGCAGGAAAGTTGGGCGGTGCCAATTTGGTCTTGGTGACGCATGGTGATTGCGTGGCAGGCATGTGTGTCTGGGCCGCTTGGAAATCCTCACATTCTGTGGCCTGAACACTCTACGCTTGCTTGAAGGTGTATTCAGATGTCTTCAGTACTTGAAAATCCATTCAGAAATCCATTCAGAAATCCACTCAGAAATCCATTCAGAAATCCATTCAGAAATCCATTCAGAAATCCATTCAGAAATCCATTCAGAAATCCATTCAGAAATCCATTCAGAAATCCATTCAGAAATCCACTCAGAAATCCATAAGTCATTAAAACAATCCATAAGAAAGTCCATGGCCCGAAACCGTCGCCGATCGCCAGGATGTTTGGCCCTCGCCAGCACCAAGGCCGAGCTGACAGCCCCGGTGGTGTCCAAGGTGCCCCGGTGTCATGAAACATGGCTATAGATGGGAAGTTCCCGAACTAAATGGATGTTTTACTAGGAAAACCATCAAAAAAATGGGGGGATTTTCCATTGCATGTTGGATTACTGGAGGGATCCGGAGGGTAAGATCATGTAAGGATGAGAAATGCGAAGCTTCTCTGTCCTGAAGGGTGAGAATGTGCCCATTTGCCAGGGGCCGTATTGTGGCTTTGTGGTTCTGGAACGACACTGGGCGTGAATGCGCAGATTCCTTTTGTGCCAGAAATAGTGATGGCAGGGCAACTGATTGGCCCGCCTTTCACCAACTCTTAATATTTCTTGATTCAGTTCAAACAGCGACAATTTGTTAGAATTTGTTGTTCCCGTTGTTCCCGAGCCCTTTGGCTTGGGGCCAATGAAGCGCCAGAGTCAGAGATGCAGCAGCTTGAGGCCCATTCCAAGCAGATGAGCCGCCCAAGAGCCTGTTGGATCCCGCTGCTGGTTGGAATGTATACAACGGCCACAACGAGGTCACGCTGCTTTTTTTTGGTGGCTAAAACTGGCTGAAACTGCATGGTCTTTATGTATACTGTGTATACTCCCAATCCAGGTCTCGGTATTTCTTGGCTGCAAACAGCATGGAACATCCAGGCGATAATGGGGCTCTGAGAATCCATATAAGAAATCTAATTCATAGCTGTTTCAGCAGGAGAACGACCAATTTTGTGGCGGTCGCGGTCATGGGTTTGGTCCAGGTGCTCTACCGAAACTCGCAGCAACTTTCCACCTGGAGCCCGGTGACGGAGAAGAAGGCAGCGCAACTGCAGAGCTTGGCCAAAGACTTGGCAAAGCGAAACCAGACACAGGCGGTCGAAATAGAGGAGGTCGGCCAAAAGGGGCAGTTCTGGGATGGGGTTGGAGCTAAATCACCAATGCCGAAAGAGTCGGTAAAAAGCCAAAAACTGCAGGGAGCTCTTTAGGGGGCTCAAAACTGAATACTCAGCGAGCGTATTTGACAATGGAGAGGCCCCCAACCAAAATGGTGTCTTGGGCAGATGTCATCTCTGTTGCTCAGCTGATTGGCTCCCTGGTGTGCAAGGAGACCACAGAGAGCCCGCGACGGCGACAAAAGCGGCAAACCACCTTGATATTGGAAAACGAGTTGCATCTTGGATTCTGCAGAAGGGGTACTTGTAGAAAGGCATATGGGAAAATGGCTTTGGTTAAATGTCACTGCAACTTGAACGGTTCAATACTCCAGCCTTTATACAGCCTTCTGTGTATCCTCTTCAGGACCTTACGGAGAGCGAAAAAACTTCTGGAGTCGCAGCAGGAGGCGAAGCCGGGCTTCTGACATGGCAGGGATCGCTATTGAGCGAAACAAAGCCCGGTTGATTGATGGTTATAAGTTATATTGTATCCTACTAACGGTTACTAATGCTTGTGTACAGAGGTATGGATACATACACAATTTGATATACACATATACCTATATGTCTATACATAGATTATATACATGAATGTATATGCACGTATATACACGTATATACACGTATAGACACGTATATGCATGTACATATGTAGATATGTGTTTTTGTATTATTGTATTATTGTATTTTTGAACTATTGAATTATTGTATACATATATATATTATATATATGCTGTATATATTATTGTATATATGCTGTATATATTGTTGTATGTATGCTGTATATATTATTGTATATATGCCGTATATATTCTGTATATATATATATGCAGTATATATGTATATATGTATATATATATATATGTATATATATATATATATGTAAAATTGTATATATGTATACATGTAAATATGTACATATGTGTATATGCATATTTGTATATGTATATATATATATGTATGTATGTACATAGGTCTATATGCGTATATGTATATTATATGTATATTATATGTATATTATATGTATATTATATGTATATTATATGTATATTATATGTATATTATATGTATATTATATGTATATTATATGTATATATATATATTATATGTATATTATATGTATATTATATGTATATTATATGTATATTATATGTATATTATATGTATATTATATGTATATTATATGTATATATGCGTGTCTATATGTCTATATGCCAATATGTCTGCATATGTATAAATGTAAAAATGTACCTACGTATGTACATATTTTTATACATATACATTGTGCTACATATTTTGTTCCAATCCACTGTGGAAACAAACTATCAACGAGTCAGTGGAAGGGGAAGGGGACAATAGAATATTTTGAGTGCTTTTATTGACCCATCAAAATTGGTACGTTTGTCTTGGGATGTTGAAAACCAATGTTGAATTTTCGGTGATTGTTACCCTGATACTCGGGCTTTGAGACCTGTAACTTGGTAGCTGGATGAAGATCCCACAAAGCTGGACGAGGTCGGACTTCGCCTTCAAGAGCTGCTCCCTGACTTACCACCAGAGCGTTGTATCTCAGGTGGGGTGCATAGATATCCTTCCCACTTGGTTCGGAAAGGAGTACTGTATCCCCTCCGAAAATGGTAAAAGGGGGTTTCTAGGAGGTATAGGTTGGGTGTTGAGAAGGACAAAATGACGCTCCGCAAGAGTGAGTCTTTTGAGACACGGGTTTGTTGGATTTTGTTCATAAGGAAGATGTTTCTGTTGCAAAGTATACGTGAAAAGGAGAATACGGGACAAAATGCATTTGAACATTTAAAACAACGTCTTCAGCAATTGGTCGCCATCAGATGTACAGATCCTATGCCTTCGCCAGATGAAGACAATGACTTCTGGGAACGGTAATGAATTGGTTCAAGGAATAAAACTAGAAGACCAATACAGTAGTCTATTTGTAGTAACAATCTTGTTGATCGAGAAATCATCATAGAATGCCGTACAGAACTGAACCGAGACGGCAACATATATATATATATAGATATACACATACACATATACGTAAAAACAGTGTTGATGAACCGGTATCTTTCGCCAAACACTTTTGGGATGGAACTGGAACTTGAAGAGGATAAGAGGATAAGTTCACAATATCTCACCAAAGATATGACCCAAAGCAACAACAATTGGCGACCTCGTAGAAACAAACAAACATAGTGAAAGTTAACCACATTTCCCCGTTGAACCCCCCACTTGTGGATGTCAAAACCTAAGAACAATCATGGAACATGAATGTAAAAACCTTGACAACCAACATACAAACCCCAGAAACCATGCCCTTGACTATGTTCCAACATATTTTCATATTTTGGAACCATTGAGTGTACCCAGTTTCCCAATGAGGCAGATATTTTTTCGAGAAGGTATCAGATGATTATATATATATACACGCAGAAATGACACAACATGGAATATTTTGTCACCCAGTTTTCCCATCATCCGGAATATACCGACACTAGGATTGGGAAATTTACGATATTTTTTTAAATCACAAACCATCACAACAGTCTACCCCATGGCGACATCACAACAGAAATTCAAAGCCACTGGGGTGTTCTTGACGCGCAACGTTCAGGGGATAGCATCAAGGAATTGGCCGAGTATGCGCGGTCCGAGAGCTTTGATGTTTGAGGCCTCGTGAGATGACGGCTGTTGGGTACCCAAAAAATACAGGGGGGATAAGTACCCCCAAGCAACATAGCTAGGGGAAAGTGGGATTTTCGAAGACCATGGGATGGAATGGGGTACCCAATTTGCAGAAGAACCCATTTCTGTTGGGAAATTGGAATGAAATCTGGCCGGAGACCCATAAACCCAATCTGATTCTTCTGATTGTGTGTCATGTCACCACTTCTGGAATCGTGCTCCCAGATGACTGATGTGAAGGATGAGGCTCAGACGAAGATCAGTGAACTGCGGCTTAGCTCCGAAGGCATTTCTCCCCAGCTGCAGCGTTGGAGCTGCCAGGTCTTCACAATACCTAAAACCATAGCCGCCATAGCCCATTTACCAAATTTAGCAGTTGGGGGAATAGAAAACATATCCCCCAAGAGATATGTATATAAACTGTCAGGTAATCAAACATGGCAATTGAAAATCCTCCGCAAACGTGTTTTGGGCCGCTGAAAGGAGCACCCAGCACAGCATCGATAGAGTGTCCGGTGACATGGAAAGGAGATCCAGGGGACCACGGATTTTAGTTTATTCTTAGTATTATACAACCATCTATTTATTTGGGGACCCAATTTTGACCTATACCCATATAATGTGTATGGTATTCCATCACTTGGGGGCAGTGATGAAAGCCTTAAGATCTCTTGTTTGCAGCTTTTTTGAGGATTCGACATCAGAAAGCTGCATGGAAGCTAGACGCTAGATTGATTATTTCAGGTAGCAAGAAGTTCAACGCTCACTGAACAAACAGTGAGAAGTCATGTCGGGCCACTGTCGAAGCTTCCAGTATCACCCAGGCTCCAAAGTGAGCGAAAGTTTGCGCATGCGAAATGCTGCGGCAACTTTAGTTTCGTTGAAAAAAGACAGCGCTTGGACCTGGGTCAATATTCCACGACACCGAAATCCACAGCTTTTGATCCGCGGTACGCTTCGCAGCCAAATTTCCTTGAACGCCTAGAAGATCCTACAAGTCTCTCGTGTCAAATCAGCTCATCCACAGATCGGGCTTTTCCATTTTGCAACAAATCCATATCTTCCCAGTTTTTGTCGATCGCCAGGCCAAGATCTTGGTGATGCAGCCCCGGAGAATTGCCGCCACCACCCTGGCAGACCCTTGGCTCATGGTTGTTATTGTTAAATAGAATTTGTGAACTATGTGTCCCTTGTTTCACTTGTTGTCTATTTGTTAAATGTCTTTTCTTCTGGATGCTGGGGATATTCTTTGGGCTTATTTTTTTTCCCCAACAGCGTAAGCTAATGGGGTCTTCAGCCCACAATAGCTCCGGTGTGCACTGGTGCAGGCGCCGGGTCAGGTTCAACGAGGTTCCGGAGAAGGTTCCGAAGGTTCCGGAGAAGGTCTAGGAGGCTTTGGTGCAGAGCCAGGTCAGGTTCAACAGGGTTCCGGAGAAGGTTCCGGAGAAGGTTCCGGGAGGCTTTGGTGCAGAGCCAGGTCAGGTTCAACAGGGTTGCGGAGAAGGTTCCCGGAGAAGGTTTGGGAGGCTTTGGTGCAAAGCCTTGTGGGAGGCTTTGGTGCAGAGCCAGGTCAGGTTCAACGGGGTTCCGGAGAAGGTTCCGGAGAAGGTCTGGGAGGCTTTGGTGCAGAGCCGGGTCAGGTTGAACAGGGTTCCGGAGAAGACTCCGGAGAAGGTTTGGTGCAGAGCCAGGTCAGGTTCAAGAGGGTTCCGGGGAAGGTTCCCGGAGAAGGTCTGGGAGGCTTTGGTGCAGACACAGGTCAGGTTCAACAGAAGTTCAGCAGGGTTCCGGAGAAGGTTTCGGAGAAGGTTTGCGAGGCTTTGGTACAGAGCCAGGTCAAGTTCAACAGGGTTCCGGAGAAGGTTCCGGAGAAGGTTCTGGAGAAGGTTCCGGAGAAGGTTTCGGAGAAGGTTCCGGGAGGCTTTGGCGCAGAGCCAGGTCAGGTTCAACGGGCTCCGGAAGGTTGCCACAGAAGGTTTTGGGAATCTTTAGTGAAGGGCAAGGTCAGGTTCAACGGGTTCAATAGGGTTTCCAGCGCTTGGCTTCGCAGCACGCTTCAGAATGATTTGTAAAAATCAAACGTTGCGGCTGTTGAGGATGCCACCGAAGCTTATTTTCCTATGGTTAACTAAAAAATCACAAAGACCATTTACATTCATGATGGTTAACTTGAACATCGAAAACAATTGGTATTGTTTTACGGGCGACCTATGAAGACATACTCCAGTGATATTTTGAGGACGAACCCAGTGGGGTGTCTTGGTGTGTCTTGGCGAGGAACGCATCGCAGTCGAAAGATGCCAGCGCTTGGGCGTGGACGTGGGATACCAGGCCTGGGCTCGGGAGTCGAATCGTCAAGGGCAGGGAATCTGCTGATGAACTCCACGGTCAACACCGATGTTTTTTTTTACAAAATGGTCCCTTGAACATATTCTGCAATCCATATTTTTGAGAGATGCATTTCCATCAAAGTGGTTGGGTACCCCCCCAAAATGACAAGTGCTGTACACCGAGCTGCGGGGTTCCAGGTGCCCAGTGCCTCGCAGTCGGAGAACGCCCGGTTGGTTTTTTGCACCCTGGGGGCTCCTTGGATCAACGCGTCAAAAAACACTTGGGGATGTTCATTTGCATCGTGTAACAAAAAACAACATATGCAACCGATGTACCCTAAGAAAAACTTGAAACTTGGGGATATCCATTTGCATTTGACGTCATCAACTTCAGGATTTCAATGCATAAGTAGCAAGTTTCGCTGCCAACAGAGGGGTGGACAGATGGATATACCACTTGAGTCCGGTTAGAACAATGGAATCGCCCGAGTGGAGGGAGTCTCAGTTGGGGAAATGTATTTTTCGCCGCATCTACATTCGATGTTTTATTTCCATGTAAGTGACATTCCTGTGTGTTTGCATAATACATGCTGTGAATACCCAAGGCACTTGTGTCACATGTGGCTAGAGAAAGCAGAGAATTTGCGTCACATTTGGGATTCCTTTGATCAGCAAATCATTCCCTTCGCACCTGAGTGGCCAGTTCCCCCTGCGGCTGGTTGATGGTCTGGGGTTGTAGTGCAAGGTTTTTCCTTCACCTCCACAATTTTGTCCATTTGCAATGGAACATGCCCAACTTGTAGATGACTTTCTCATTCTAGACTTGGGATTGTCCAGAGTCAGATTAAAGGAGGCTCATATCAAATTTGTTTGGTCATACCCCCGATTTTCCATGAGAGGCACTCATATCTATCCTTGGGCTCTCTCCTTCTCCATGGGTCCGAGGTGTTTCGGAGGAGGCTGCTCCTTGACCCAGATTTGGTGGGTGTGACCCACATCATTTTTGACGAGGTGTGGGGTCCAAGGGTTGGACCTTTTATGGGATTGACCAACTAGCTTGGATACTCCACAAAATGGACATTGCCCAATATTTATCTGGGTAAAATATAACGACCTCACTGCGACCTCACTGGAATCATAGTTAGTAAGGGGAATCATCCCCAAATGGCCTTAATTCAGGTTAGTGAAATATTATAATTTACCCAGATTTATGTGTTCCACGGATTCCACGGTCGCAGTTTTTGAATCATACCCAGCTGTTGGAGTTGGGATTGAAGCAACCGCTAGAGTTGGCAGGTCACGCTCAGTCTCAAATCAATAGAGACCATATGACAGCAGGGACCGGCACGACGTGGGTTTGCATCAAGTTGATAAAGGTGCATTGATTGCCAACAGTACATTTACCTCCTGTCATGAAACACAAAGAAATGACAAACATGGTCCGGAAGGCAACATGATGGGAACAATGGATAGAATCTGCTTGTTGGTTTCCGATATGGGCATTTCACACCTGCGAGGGAACACCCAAGCGACCTCGCGGCGACCGCAATAGATGATGGTTTCTATACGGGGAATCATCCCTAAGACTTCACTTTTCATTTTGAGCGTGATATTCCCGGACACAAAGACGAAGCAAGTATCCAGAATTGTCGCAAGCCCTGCTTCTATCTGAGATGAAGCTGGCAAATTACCGATTTTGGTGACTCTGAATTGAAAACACTTTGCCATAACTTCAATCCGAGTCTCCAATATTAAAGAGCAATTTGCCCACATCAGGCTTTGTGGTAAGATGATGTAAGATGCCCCAACATCCAAAGGTTTAGAACGTCGTTTTTCCATGTTTTTCCCACTTAGATGGCCATAACGTGGTGTTTTTTCCAAATGGCATTTTCAGACCAACCAGGTTCATGAGCGAGACAAGTTGGCGGACTTCAACATGCTGGGGGCCTGGAAAAAGATGGAGCCCTACAGCTGTTTCAAGGAGACATGGTCCAGGTTATATATATATATATATTATATAATGTATATATATATATATGATATATTATACATTGGTTTATGGATTTAGATATTGGCCCTTACGGCAATAAATCTTCTATTTCTGTTGCTGTTGTTCAATCTGTGATGACAGGATTTCCTATCGACCCACGAGAACGACACCACAAAATGGCCCCATATCGCAGTTGGAAAAAACAACTGGAGCAAGACTCATTCTGGAAAGAAAAGCTTCCCCAGCTATCCGTCTCAAACTATGTTGGGATCGTTCAGTCACCACTCTGACCCTGATGTTTCAGACAGTTCCCTGCACTGCTGGCGAAAGTTTACGATTAATGCGCTCATCTCATGCACACAGACAGTCCCAAAACTTGCAAGCTGCTTCCGCACACGCCATCACCATCACCGTCACCATCACGATCATCACGACCGCCATGATGATCACGATCATCACGATGATCATCATGATCACGATCACCGTTGTCTTGATCACCTTTTCAACATCATTTGTCATCATTTTTTCAAAAGAAAACAGGTCTATGTAGATCCGATGCCGAGGATTGTAGTCAGGGACTTGCTGGCACGACGGAGTGACCTTAGGCCGCTGAAGTTCGAAGTGGGAATGGGGCAAGATTGGATTGTCTGCGTGCCCTGTATGCCCTGTATATTCAATTATTGCATGTCATGATATGTCCATATATGTTTACACAGAAGGCCAAACTTTGTTGGCCCCAGCATCTCAAACGTTACTGGAGTTTGATAATCTGCTGGACACGTGGGAAGTTCACGCGACGTAGGAAAACCCAAGAAATAGCGCCATGGAGCTACAAATGCGGGTCTTTCGTGTGATTCGCGATTGCACTACTGTGGCGTAGCGTCTTGGGTTGGATGGCATGATCTTTGATGGATATGAGACTGAACATTCATAACATTACGAGTACCCACGCGACCAAAACAACACCATCTTTGTTCAGCAAGGTGGCAACTGCATGATGTGATCAAGTACAACCTCTGCAGTCAGTTGATGCTTTGCCGACGTGTTGCTATTCTTGAAACCATGATCTGAAGCCGTTTGGCTAAAGTGATGCAGATATTGCGGAGATCTAGGTACCGCAATTTTTCAGATGTGTCACGTGCAGGAATCAGATCGTGGTTGGGGAAATTGAGTTTCCGAGACGTGCTCAAAAGATTGGCGGAGACGAAGAAGTCAGTCTTGATCGCGGATGCTTTTGAGCTGGCTTGGCAGCAGAATTTGAGACCCAACGAAAGGGAATACACCATTGGCATTTCTGGCTGTGCAAGGGCACAACTGTGGCAGCAGGCCTGCTGGCTATTGGACAGAATGTCTGAAAGTTCAAGTCAACCCAATGTCTTCTCCTTTAGTGCTGCGATCAATGCTTGTGAGAAGGGCAGTGAATGGAAGCAAGCATTGAACTTGTTTGAAGGAATGGCTGCGGCCGAGATCAGCCCCAACGTAATCAGCTACAACGCGACTCTAAGCGCTTTTGAAAAGGGTGGTAAATGGCAGCAAGCATTGAGCTTCTTAGAGGCAATGCCTGACAAGAACACTATTCCAGATGTAATAAGTTACAATGCGACCATCAGTGCCTGTGGGAAAGGGGATCAATGGCAGCAGGCATTGGGAGTTTTAGAGGCAATGCTAGTTTTCAAGCTTAGTCCAGATGCTATCAGCTACAACGCAGCAATCAGCGCTTGCGAGAAGGGTCGACAGTGGCAGTTAGCACTGGCAGTGTTGCAGACGATGTCAACGGCGAAACAGAGCCCTGACACTGTGAGCTACAGTGCAGTTGTCAGTGCTTTGGAAAAAGGACGAGAATGGCAGAAGACCTTGATCTTGCTAGAAGCAATGAACCAAGCAAGAACACATGCTGATCTCTTTGCCTACAATGCAGCAATCACTGCGTGTGGTAACAATTCTGAATGGCAACAAGCTTTGAGCTTGTTGGAGACAATGTTTAGGACACAAACAACCCCTAGTACAATTAGCCACAATGCTACCATCACTGCACTAGATAAGGGGGGTCAATGGCAGCACGCATTGATCTTGTTTGAGGCCATGCCGAGAACCAGGATTTCTCAGGATGCCTTTAGCTTCAATGCAGCCATCAACCTTTGCAAGAACAGCGGGCACTGGGAGGAAGCCATTGGACTCTTTGAACACATGGCAAGGGTCGGAATTCCTCTGGACATAATTAGTTACTTGGATTAGCTGACGATTTCTTATTTTCCCAGTGGCAAATGAACCATTTGGGGAACCTACAGGAAGTATTTTATTCTTCTGTTGGGCCATCTTTAATTCTGAGGTTTCAATGCAGCCATCAGTGCTTCTGAGAAAAGCTTCCAATGGCAGCCAGCGTTGAGCTTGTTCTCTTCGTTGCTGCGGACTAAGATTCGACCCAACTTGATCAGCTATAACGCGACCATAGCAGCTTTGGAAAAAGGTGGCCAGTGGAAGTTGGCATTGAGCTTATTCAGCAGAATGCCTGCGGAGGAAATTCGGCCAGATATCATCAGCTGTAGCGCAGCTATCAGTGCCTGTGAAAAAGGCGGGCATTGGCAGTTCGCTTTGAGCTTGTTTGAAATCATGCCTCAGAAGACCATTTCTCCAGATGTCATAAGCTACAGTGCTGCTATCAGTGCATGTGAAAAGGCCGGGCAATGGGAGCAGGTACTGTTTTTCATGGCTTCCATGTGCACTGAAGAGATACATCCGGATTTGATCACTTATAATGCTGTCATCAGTGCTTGCGAGAAGGGTGCTCAATGGCAGTGGGCATTCAGCTTCTTGGATGCCATGGTCAGTTCCAAGGTAAGCCCTGATCGGCTGAGCCACAATGCAATCATCGCAGCTTTTGGAAAGTGTAGTAAACTTCATCTGGCCTTGAGTTTATTTCGCACTTTGCCAGAAATGAACATTTTACCTGATGGCGCCAGCTACAGCACAGTTGTCAATGCCTGTGAAAGAAGTGCTCAGTGGCAAGAAGCGCTGAGCGTGTTCGATGCCATACAAGAAGGCACCGGACACCACCCCGACTTAAACAGCTATGGTGCAGCCATTGCTTCCCTTGAGAAGGCGGGGCAATGGGAGAGGGCCTTGAACTTGTTTGGCAGAATGCATTTGGTCAGGATCACTCCTGATGCTGTGGTGTGTAGAGCAGCCATCAGTGCTTGCCAGACGGGTGCTCAATGGCAGCAGGCGCTGCGTTGGTTGGAGGCATCAGCCATTGATGCCACCTGAAACTTTCCAGCCAGATAGCCTGATCTGTTGTCAGTATGAGAGGGCCTGCGATTTGGAAGTTCCCATGGGTCCTCCCGTTGGTTCCCTGCAGCGTTTCTAGGGAGAGACCCTGGCGCAACATGCAGCGGGAGGACCTTTCCGCACCCCGTTGTTTTCAAAGCCATCACCACAACATCACCCACTGAGCTTCCTTGCATCGTAAGCTTTTGGAAGATGTTTCCACGGGTGATGTTTGCGTGTGCGATGTGCCTTATTTGGATCTGAATGACCATTCGAGCGATTGACGACAAAATCCAGCATGTCAGTCTCACAAGATATTGTTGCAAGGTAGAGTCGTGATTTCTACACCCAACGAGGGGTTACATCACGAGCATAACTGCATCTGGCTATATCTATCTATATCTGGCTTTTGACAAGTTGCAAGGGAACATATCAGTTTGTCTGAAATTGGGTGGGCCAACAAATTATGCCACTTTTCTTATCTTTTCTTCATTTTTTTTAACCATGGGATTCTTGGGGATACCGATTGATTCCACCATGAACCTGTCGAGCCCGGAGGTTGGTGCTGATGAGCGTCGCTTGGCGCCAGGGTTCGCACCTTTCCAGGACTGTCAGTTACTATATATGAGATACGGTCAAAATAAGCGTAGACTACTTCAGTAAGGGAGGGTCCAGTTGTGTTGGGAAAGTGCACCAAACCATGTAAAGCGAAAGGCCCCCCCCAAAAACGATAACTTGTAACCATATGAGAATGCATTAAACTTGGTGTAAACCAAGGAAATTATTGTTGTGTGCCTTCACGCGATGGGCAAACTTGATGAAGCAAATTCAACATGCAGTGCCCACGTCTCTTGCAGTTGCCATATCATGTGTTGTCCAAGGTTATTGAACCGTTGCTTTCTGCAGGCAGTTTGTTTTTTCTCCCAGGTCCCAAATAAGTAGAATTAAGCTCAACTAAATGCAACCGAATTCTGAATCAAATCAAATGAAATCAATTAAATCTAATTCTGAATTCCGTTTATGTGCTCAAGTTTAATTCGGATTTCGTCTTACTTTGTTTCCTTTTCTTTTTCTTTCCTTCCTTTTTCTTTTTATTTTCCTTTTAAAAGTAAATGCAATTGAATTCTGAAGTATATCAAAACTGATTTTGAATTCCATTTATTTCATTTTTTGCTTTTTGTTTGATTTGTCCTTTCTTCTTCCTTCGTTTCCTTTTCTTGTTCCTTCCTTTTTCTTTTTATTTTTTCAATTGTCCGTTTTGTTCCACGTTCCTCTTTCTTTTCCTTTCTTGATCATCAAGGTGTTCTAATTTAGCGACAAGCTTAGCGATAACCTAGCGATAACCTTTTGTTGCAAAAGGGACCCCGAAGAGGGATAGACTCATTTGATCCCAACAAGAAGAAGGGCTCAACGAAAAAGTAAACAGGTTCTCAACACTAGACCATCAGATTGTTCTGAGACTTGGGGAGCCTAACGCACTTCTTCATAGCTACTAACGCTTCTTTATTGGACCATCTTAAATTTCTAAAGCTTTTGAGCGGGGAAGTGTGGCGCTTTTCTGACGCCATGGCTTCATCAAACAGGGGTGACCCTTTTCCGTTTTCATAGAATTAGTGATCTTATAACCGTTGGGAACCATTGATCTTAATTACTGTCTTTCTAGTTCGGAGTTGAGATTGTAATAAATTTCCTTGCTTAGGAAAGAGTCATAAAGAGTCTAGGAATGTGCTTAGATAGCCCCCAAAAATGCTTGCAAACGAACGCCCCTTAATCCATCCCCGGCAGTTTAATTTCTGCATTATGTAGTGTTGATTTGAACAAAACACTGTAAAGGGATAGGCCCCCGCCAAAAACCGATAACTTATATTTTTGTACGAGGCGTAAACAATTGATTGTGACGGCGGCTCACAAAATAAATTAATATATAAGTATATATTATATATATCTATATAAATACATATGTATAATATACATATATGGGAAATATGGGAACAAGCCTACTTGCTAATCCCCAAAACGATACTGAAAAGTAGGCCAAGTCTGGAAATATGGTTGGTAAATGTGAACTTCACATCCTAACACTTTTCGGCATCTTTTTGGGTTGGCAATTTTCGCCCATTCTTCCCCAAGGCCACACTGCAGATGGACACCTTTGAGCGCTACTTCGAAGGTCAGCACCTACCATTTGGGGATTGTTTAAGAAGTTTAATATCACTCATTTATGGCTCATTTATGGTATTTTTTTTGGATTAGTGTTGGCTTTACCGCACGATCTATTTTTTGGAACCAGAATCTTGCGATGTTCGTGTGCGTGCTTGTCAAGAAGTCTGACGTTTGATGGATCAACCCCCTTTTTTCCGCCTTTTTCATGGGCTTCTCCAATCATTTGACCGCTGGCCATACCTAGGTGCAGCCAAGGTGAAGATTCCGGGCCGCGCCAGGGGCTGAGTTGCTGGCTCCTGCTGGTGCTACTACTGATGATGATGATGATGATGATGACGATGACGACGACGACGACGACAACGACGATGATCGCCTCAAACAGCTTTACTTGCCAAAGGATCGCACTGGTTCTGAAGGACTCCTGGTTCCAAGCCATGTCCTCCAGTTTCGACATTGACTGACTGGACGTAGGTCATGAATCGTGTCTTGCGACTTGGGTTCCACAATTTCCAGGGATGGTAAACATCTGCCGAGTTGGAGATTTTTCGCATTGCCAGAATCGATGGCTGAGAACTTTTTCCTTGATGCTTGGGTGGTGTTTACAGTTTACATAGCATATTCACGTCGCTTCGCGACGGCAACCGCCCGCACCGCATCGTATATCGAGTGAACGGTCCACACTGTTAATGATGTCAGCCATTGTTCTCTTCTACTGCCATTGTTCTCTTCTATTGCCGTCGCTCCGCGACAAGAACCCCTGTGCGGCCGCCACGGTTTGAACGATGTTGTTCTCACACCTTCGCGACCGCTCGTAACTGCCAATGATGTCGGCCATTGAGACCAAAAACATCCGAAAGTACTGATTGTCGGAAAAAAAACGCGAAGAATTTGATAGCCATGTATAGCGGACCAACGCAGTTCAAAAAAAAGAGCGAAAAACATGAAAAAACGGCGAAATTGCTGTTATTTACAGTGTTTTTGCGCGGTGAGAAGCAGAAACCACTGCAAATACCATGGTTTTTGAGGGTCAGGTGGCCAAAAACACTGTAATTTACAGTGGTTTTTTAACCAACGTCAAAAAACACTGGTATTTACGATGTTTTCATTCACACCGTAACATAAAACAGCGTAATTTACGAGGTTTTTGGAAGTTTTGAAGCTAGCCGTCAAGCATGCAGAAAACAGAAAAACACTGTAAAAACCAGTGTTTCTGCTATCACAAAACGACGAAAATCAGTCCGAAAACGGGTCCAAAAACTAAAAAATCCGCCTCCGGGCCCGGCCACCTGCGGAACCGCAAAAAAAGATGTTGCAAACCAAAAAATTGAGGTCAAAAAGTTGAAAAACACGGTTTTTTTCACTTTTCGCTTGCCGATTTTGGACGGGCGCGTTCACGAACAGGTGTCTTCCGTACTGTTTTTTACAGTGTTTTTTGAAGGCGAGCGTCACGACCTATCAAAAACAGGAGGTTTTGGCCGAAAACCCCCCCAGGTAAACCTGTAACCTTTTACGAGTGCCATCCGGACGATCACGCCCCAGCACCTTCGGTGCGGGCGGATTTTATTGGTATATGTCGAGCCAATATTGTCAAAACACACTCATGTACTGTACATTTGCTGCACTTCTGCAACCTGATGATTCGATCGAACGTCCAAGCTGACTCCAAGGTGTACCCAGTGAACGAGCTGTACTTGGACGAAGTTGCTGTTGGTGCCCCATGTTTGCCGGAAATCGCTGGCTTTTGGTCAGCAGCAAACACAAAAAACCCGTTTTCGCCGATGGACGTCCATGGCGGCAAACATGACCAGCCAGTTGGGGGTCCAAATATGGCACCAGAAAATTGGCACCGCTTTGGTGAGGCCACCCTCTACAAGCAACAGCAAAAGATGTTCCAGCTGTGGCTCGGGTCTGACATCCCAGCCTGGAACAGCCTGGAACAGGTAATGCGACATTTGGATTGACCGGGTATCAACACAGGGATATATTGACGCATATGATGGCATGGATTATCATGGAGAGATACGATTTGATGAAGTTGAGTCAATATTTCAGGCATGTTTGTACCAATATTGGTATCCAATGATTTTCAGTTTAACTTTTTGCAATGCTAAAACAGCATGGCCCAATTTGAGTCGCACATTTTCTGAGGCCCGGCATTTTGTGTGGTGGCATTGCGGGGCTTCCCAAGTCGCACCCTGCGCTGAGAATTGCGGGGTCCGAAGTGACACCATGGGCTCAACAGACCAGGAACATCCACCAAGAAATGGACAACCTGACAATATCATACATATACTATATATATATACGTAATTATGTATATATATATACACACATAAATGTGTGATGATATATGTATATGTCCACATTTACATACAGATACACCTATTTGATGGGATTCTATGTGGCGCCATCATCCCGCAGGGGTTTCCTTGGGGCAGACCCATACCTAAGTCATAAACCCCAATTGCAAGGTGGTGCCCCCCCAATTATAAGGTGGTTGACAAAAACCACCATGAAGTATAGATATATCTAGCATCAACCATAGGATTCAGATAGTTATCAACCAACTTAGCTAGCTAAATCCCATCAAATCCTATTAAAACATCATTTTTGCAGGTGAAATACCTCCATTCATCATTGCTATAAAAAACCTTCTACTACTGAGACAGCGATTCTTCAGGACATCCCGGCTGGCGCAGAGGGCGACTGGAATGAGCGAGCATGGAAGTGGAGTGACCCAAGGGATATGGATGGTCAATGGAGGACACATATGGAAAATGAATGGATCTACATGGAACTACATATGCTGTACATGTGTACATGTGTACGTATATACATACATACATACATACATACATACGTACGTACGTACGTACATACATACATACATACATACATACATACATACATAAGTACGTACGTACGTACATACATACATACGTACGTACGTACATACATACATACATATATATATATATATTAAAGGGCTCCGCCCCCTGCCGCCGACCCCTGGGCATATCTTCTGTGGCGCGTGAGCAACTGCGCCATGGTGACTTGTCCGACAATAACCATCGCTTTCTGCACGGGCGGCCTACCACAGTGCCAGGCAGCTGGATTGCTGGGCAGGCGACGTGCCAACAACCAAGTTGCGCCGCGTTGCCTACACAAGGCCTAATTCCAGAAGCCATACAAGAGGCCGAATGCAGCTACTGTGCGGCGGATCGCCGTTCGCGCATACTTGTGGCGCAAGGAGCTGCGGACACACGGTTCCAGAAGGAATTTGCAGATGCGGTCGCGATTTTCGGCACCAACGACATCAAATACCACGTGAACAAGCTTCGCGCCATACAGTGGGCGAATGCCAGAGACAAGCAACCGTATTTATTTGTTGCGCAAGATGTTGCGTCGTCTGTGGTCGTGCAGGAGAAGCCGAATTTGACGACGGAGAAATTGCAATGGTTGCAGCGACACGACAAAGAGTGCGGTGGACTGTACGGCGTGTTGCCGTTGTGCGTCGGCATGCCTGTCCGTGCAACAGATCACCTCGACCGGAAGCGTGGCATTCTAAAAGGCACCAAGGGCTACGTCGTCGGTTGGTCCACGATTGCCAATGAGACGCCTGCGCCGGAAGGAGTCGTGTGCAACACTTTGCCGGCCGTGGTGTATGTGAGGTTTGAAACCGCAACCTCATGGCATGTGCCAGGTCTGCCGGATGCAAACGTATACCCCGTCGGAACTTGCAGGCGTGTGTGGTACTTAGACCGGCAACGCCAACGCCCCAAGCTGCGTGTATCGCGGACGCAATTCCCGCTCGCACCCCAGTTCGCCATCACCGCGCATGTGGCGCAAGGACAGACCATCAAAGAGGGGGTGATGACGGATCTTTGTATAGGTCCCACAGGAAATCCCTTCACGGTCTATGTCGCGATCACTCGCGTCACAGGACGCGAAAAATTGTTGATTTTTCGACCTTTTGACGCCGCTCCATTCCAAAAGGGAATTGGTTTGGGCCGAGACCTTCTTCTGCGACACCTTCGAGGGGATTTCATCAACTGGCAATCGTTGTTGGCCAAATACTGCGAAGAACGTCGGTGTGCAACCTGTACGGAACGCAAGCCAGCAGCAGCCTTCACGACCGGTCAATGGAAGCGCGAGGACAAGGATCGCGTCTGTCGCGAATGCACAAAGCACTACGCAGACGCAGGAACGCCGTGGCAATGCAACGTTTGCAAGCTGTGGCATGCCGAAGACAATTTTCCAGCAAAGCATCGTCAACGGCAGTGTAGTTTTTTTCGTGTGTGTTTGACATGTGAAGAAACCTTGTTTCAAGTGTGGCGTTGTGAAAGCAGAATCCGACTTTGGCGCAGCCGCATGGAAAGCTCGCAACGCGGATCGCCGCTGCTGCAGAGAATGTGCCACCAAACTACGCGGCTGTTGGCAATGTCGCCAGTGCGCGGAACGCAAGCCACGAACAGAGTTTACAGCTTGGCAACAAGGTCGTGAATATACTCAAAACGGCACAAGTATGCAACGCATGCACAGCCTTTGCCTTCGTTTGCCGTCTTGCTCATCGCACGAATCAACGCCTGGCCCGCTTGCGCCAACGCGAAACCCGCCACCGGCACGCAGCAATCCTAGAGGACGTTCGCAAGGAAATTCAGGAAATACACGAAGCAAGACAAACTTCCACGCGAGCAGAAGGTCCCAAAACGGACACTGCCCACTCATCGAACCAGCAGCTTGCTGTCGGGCCTGACACAGCACCGCCACGACTGCACATATACATCTGCCCGTACTGTGCCAAGTCTGTGCAAAGCCCTGTGGCAACAGGGCGCGTCGATCACCGCCGCGGTAATGGCTGCGGCAAACAATTTCGCGTTGCCAATGGCTTGCTCGCAGGTCGCACATATTCGCATGCATGTCCAACATGCGGCACGGTGGTGCACTCAACACTGGCTTCCGGCCGAATTCGGGTAACGCATCGCAATCCCAGCGGCCGGCAGTGTCGCACCAACCAGTGGCGCGTGCATACCTGATGAAGTTTCCAGCTTAAGGTCGCCGCACCGCACGGCAATGCCCCACATTGCTTTCTGAACCTAGAAGAAAAGTAGCCGTCTTCCAGCTTTCCAAGTTCAGAAACGGCGCCTCCGCCACGCCCAAACAGCAGGGCCCTGAAGGACGGACCGAGCCTCCGGGCAACGGCTCCCACTGCCTAACGTTGCTTTCTGAACCTACAAGAAAACAAGCTCTCTTCCAGCCGTCAACCCTTCAAAAACGCGCCGTCAAGGTTCACAAACGGCGCCCTCGCCACAGCAAAACAGCAGGGCCCTGAAGGACGGACCGAGCCTCCGGGCAACGGCCCCCAGTGCCTAACGTTGCTTTCTGAACCTACAAGAAAACTAGCTCTCTTCCAGCCGTCAAGGCTCACAAACGGCGCCCTCGCCACAGCAAAACAGCAGGGCCCTGAAGGACGGACCGAGCCTCCGGGCAACGGCTCCCAGTGCCTAACGTTGCTTTCTGAACCGACAAGAAAACTAGCTCTCTTCCAGCCGTCAAGGCTCACAAACGGCCTCCTCGCCACAGCAAAACAGCAGCGCCCTGAAGGACGGACCGAGCCTCCGGGCAACGGCTCCCAAACTAGCTCTCTTCCAGCCGTCAAGGCTCACAAACGGCGCCTCCGCCACGCCCAAACAGCAGGGCCCTGAAGGACGGACCGAGCCTCCGGGTAACGGCTCCCACTGCCTAACGTTGCTTTCTAGCTCTGTTCCAGCCGTCAAGGCTCACAAACGGCGCCTCCGCCACGCCCAAACAGCAGGGCCCTGAAGGACGGACCGAGCCTCCGGGCAACGGCTCCCACTGCCTAACGTTGCTTTCTGAACCTACAAGAAAACTAGCTCTCTTCCAGCCGTCAAGGCTCACAAACGGCGCCCTCGCCACAGCAAAACAGCAGGGCCCTGAAGGACGGACCGAGCCTCCGGGCAACGGCTCCCAAACTAGCTCTCTTCCAGCCGTCAAGGCTCACAAACGGCGCCTCCGCCACAGCAAAACAGCAGGGCCCTGAAGGACGGACCGAGCCTCCGGGCAACGGCTCCCAGTGCCTAACGTTGCTTTCTGAACCTACAAGAAAACTAGCTCTCTTCCAGCCGTCAAGGCTCACAAACGGCGCCCTCGCCACAGCAAAACAGCAGGGCCCTGAAGGACGGACCGAGCCTCCGGGCAACGGCTCCCAAACTCTCTTCCAGCCGTCAAGGCTCACAAACGGCGCCTCCGCCACAGCAAAACAGCAGGGCCCTGAAGGACGGACCGAGCCTCCGGGCAACGGCTCCCACTGCCTAACGTTGCTTTCTGAACCTACAAGAAAACTAGCTCTCTTCCAGCCGTCAAGGCTCACAAACGGCGCCCTCGCCACAGCAAAACAGCAGGGCCCTGAAGGACGGACCGAGCCTCCGGGCAACGGCTCCCAAACTAGCTCTCTTCCAGCCGTCAAGGCTCACAAACGGCGCCTCCGCCACGCCCAAACAGCAGGGCCCTGAAGGACGGACCGAGCCTCCGGGCAACGGCTCCCAGCGCCTAACGTTGCTTTCTGAACCGACAAGAAAACTAGCTCTCTTCCAGCCGTCAACGCTCACAAACGGCGCCCTGGCCACAGCAAAACAGCAGCGCCCTGAAGGACGGACCGAGCCTCCGGGCAACGGCTCCCAAACTAGCTCTCTTCCAGCCGTCAAGGCTCACAAACGGCGCCTCCGCCACGCTCAAACAGCAGGGCCCTGAAGGACGGACCGAGCCTCCGGGCAACGGCTCCCAGTGCCTAACGTTGCTTTCTGAAACGACAAGAAAACTAGCTCTCTTCCAGCCGTCAAGGCTCGCAAACGGCGCCCTCGCCACAGCAAAACAGCAGCGCCCTGA